CAGCTATAAATTTAGCAGTTCCTAGAACTCTTTCTTCAGTTTCCACCATTCACTAGAATGATGCACAGAGCTCAGGAAAACACTTTACATGATTAGTTTATTGTGAAGAATGCATCTTAAAACAGTCCAATGGAAGAGACACACAGGGTGAGGTGTGGGGGGAGGGTATGCAGAGCATGCTTCAGTATTTCTGTTCCACCAACTCAAAACTTCTTTGAATCTCTAGTTAGTTTTTTTTTTGTTTTGTTTATTGGTTTTTAAAAGATTATTTTTCCTATTATTATGACAGCACACACTTGTACCTGCATGAGTTAGAGAGAGAGAGAGAGAGAGAGAGAGAAGAGAGAGAGAGCTGGCCCCATGGCCTGGTAGTTAAAGGAGCTGGATCTCATATGGCTGAATATGCAGTTTTGAATCCTGGCCCTAGAGTCTTCAAAAATATGACAAGCACATGTGTGTTTATGTGCCCCAAATCCCGACAGGGTGGAGAAATGGAGCTGTGTGACCATGCCCCACTTGAGGGTACTTTCTCCTCCCTCTTTCTCGGTTTCTCTCTTGTGAACTTATGTACCCTCTGGAAAATAAAAGTAACAAAAGGGGCCAGCAGGAAGTGTAGCGGTTGTGTCTCCAGACCCTCATATGGCCAACCATGGTTCGAAACGCGACCAGATGGCTTGAAAATCACGACAGGCATATGTGCATGCGTTCCCAAGATTCAGGGAGGAGAATGGAGGACAAGGGATTGCGATGTGGCCATCCCCCTGGGGGATGATTTCTTACTTTCCCTCTCACTGTCTTGGTATCTCTCTCTCTCTCACTCTCCCTGGCAAGCACACACCTATGGAAAAAATCTCTATCAGAGAGAGAGAGAGCAAAAGAAAGTATCCCTCTGTAATGCCTAATTATAAATATGCAAGTCGCTGGTGCTGGAACTCAAACCCTGGTTCGCCATGTGGGATCTGGGTACCTCTACGTAGCAGCTAAGCCCTTGCACTGTGGGGCCCACCGTCTAGTTGAGTTTTTTTTTTTTTTTTTTTTTTTTGGGGTTTTTTCTATTGGGGGGCTGGCGTCACCCGCAA